TATCCTTTAATTCAAAAACGAGTTTGAAAAGCTGGATTTTTATCAAATTTGAGCCGCTGCGTTATGGCATTAAGCCCTCTCGTTTCTTTCGGGTGGCACAGCTTAGCTATCAATAAAATCATTATTGACGCGCACCGAGCGAGCCCGTGCAATCACGCGTTTTTGCAGTGTTTCGTGCTGCGATGAGACTACTCGGAAAACCAGTAGCTAGAAATATGTGGCATACTGGTCCTCGAATTTCGAGAAGTTAATTGTTTATGTTGTACTTGGACAAGGAACATTCCCAAAAAATTTCAGCCTCCCGGCTTTCTCAGTCCCAGAGTTACCCATATTCCTGTCAAAAATTTTCACGGGTTTGTACGTGAAAATTTCGCATGCTCGGGGACTGAGTTTGATAAATTTAAGTTGTACATGAGCTTGGGACATTCCCTGAAAGTTTCAGCCTCTCAGCTCCCATTGTTCCCCAGTTAGCCATTTTCCCACCAAAAACTTTCACGGAGCCATACGCGGGAATCTCAGACAGCTCGGGGTTGAGTTTGAAATTCTTGATTCTGCGTGGACGGGGGACACAACCTCAAAATTTCAGCTTCTAGCCATTCTGGTTCCTGAGTTAGCGATTTTTCCCCCAAAACTCTCACGCGCTCATACGCGGAGCCTAGACGTGGGTGAGGGTTGGTACTACGGCCCCGGGGTAGCGTCTGGTCGGGAACTCACTTGCAAAATTTTGGCTCAGGAGCTTGCTTGGCTGCCGAGTTGAAATGCCTGGATAGACGCACACATACACACACACACACAAGCACACACACACGCACACACACACGCACACACACACGCACACACACGCACACACGCGCGCACACACACGCACACACACACACACACACACACATATAAGCACACATACTCCGGGGTCGTCGCAATATGCGTTTTTGCATATATGCAAAAGGCATGAAAACCAACTGACTTGCTGCTGCTGATCAAAATTCAAGGGCCATTACAATAGCGCGGTTATTAGCCATTTTATATTGTTCTGCTTAGTTTCTGGTTTTGCGCCATTATTGCTGCACTAACTTATCATTTTGCAGATTGTCCGAGCTGCCTAATCGCCACCGGTTGCA